CTAGTATTATGGTAGTTTTGAGTCACTGCAGAAAAAGAAACCTACAGTGCTTCAAACATGCTCATGCTTGTTGTCGTGGAGGAAAATTATATTTGTAACATAATTGGGCCATTACTGACTGCTGAAAGTGCCATTAAATGCTCTCCTTGGACCATCATCGTGAACTTCCTAGGGGACTGTGTACCATTAAATAGGAACTACTACTACTTTACCATGGTGCCTTAGAATTAGTACTTTAAAATTACTGATCAAAGAAAAAAGCCATGCTTTAATAACAGTTGCAAACCACTGTTAACAAGCATAATGTTGGCCTTGTGGCTGGAATGAAAATACTTGTATTTGAGAAAGCTATGATAACTTCATTGCTATGTGCTTGGCTTTGGGTGTGAAGGCTATTCAGGCTGGGCTTTCTGATGCTATCAATCAAACTTATGCTAAAGAAATCAGATAATGGCAGTCAGTACAAGTTAGGGCTAGTTCATATCTCTGAAAAGTGGGTTTGCTTTGTCTAACATCAGTCCATGTCAAAAAGGACAACTCAAGAAAGAATGAAAACTTCTTCCCTTAAAGAAAGAGTATTTAAAAAAAACCAGGTTGGTCTAGTCCAAGTTTTATAGAACAAATCCTTTTATTAAGGGGATTTATTCTGTGAATTTGGATTCAGTCAAAAAGTCACCCTTGGGGACCTAGAAGGCCAACGTGGCCTTGAGGCTGCAGGTTCCCAACCCCTGGATTAGCCTGTTTGGGCATCGTGCAAATTCGGTACTTCTTGGAAATGTGATTTATGAAAGTTAAATAAGTATGATTTCATTTCTCAGAGTAAGCAAAATTCTTCCACTTTGAATTGGATGTGGACAGATGTGCAGCTGCTAGTATTAAAGTGCCAAGCTTTCCCTGGTCCAGGCTGGGCCTGTGCCTCCCAAAGAAAGTTCAGCAAATATTTGTCAAATGGCGTTGATGGTACAATATTTACTTTATTATCTCGTTGACATAACAGTGGTGTTTGTCGATGTTTTGTATGACCACAGCCAAAGGCCTGGAAGCTTTCCCACAGTTTCGCCTCTTGTCAGTAATAGAAAGTGTTTTCATGTCAGCACAGCTATAAGGGACAGGGAAACTAGAAACAGGATAGTAACATCAACAACTTTTTATTCACTCAAGGTTTAGTTGATAAATTACATAGCTGTAAAGAATCAAGTTTAAAAACAAGAAAAGTTATATGTTACATTAAATGGAATACATTCCATATATTCCATTAAAGGTTATATATTCCAAATGTTTATAGCTAAAGAATATACATTTGTCTAACATGTATAGCATGATATTTAAATTTACTTATGTAGAAAATGCGTGTATGGATTGATATTGATCCTGACAAATTTGGGGAGGGAGGAGAGGAGAAAGAAAAAATGATTATAACAGCTAACATTTATATAGTGTTTATTATGTGCATTACACTATGCTAAGCATTTTACAATCATCTAATTTGAAGCTCACAACAACCCTAAGAAGTAGGTGTTATTATTATCCCCATTTTATAGATGAGGGCACTGAGGCAAACAGAGGTTAAGTGACTTGCCTGGAGTCAAAGAGGTCATAAGTGTTGGTAGCCAGATTTGAGCTCAAGTTGGCTTGACTCCAGGCCTAGCACTTTATCCACCACGCCACCTAGCTGTCCCTAATGAGATAAGAGGCAATGTAATCAATCAATCTGTATTTATTGTGTGTACAACAATACAAGGATAATGATAATAATAATAACTGATGAAGTAATCTTTAGGAATCTATATTAGAGATTTTGAAGGATACATTGATACCTCCCAAAGCTGATTTAAGGAGCAAATGAAATAATATTTCTAAAGTGCTTAGCATAATAACCTGGCACAGAGTTGGTGTTTAATAAGTGCTTATTTCCTCCCTCCCTCTCTTCTTCCTTTCTTCCTTCATTCTTTCATTTCTTCCTGCCCTCTCTCCTTCCCTTTATTCTTTTCTTCTTTCCTTCCCTCTCTTGTTTCTTTCCTTTCTTCTTTTCTTCTTTCCTAAAATGAACAGATTTCCCTCCCAAAGATTTGTATAGGCAATGTGGCCTTAATTCACATACAGGTTTTCCACTGGTGCTTTTTGATCATGTGTCCCTGTTGGGATGAAAATCCATGTATTTAAGAAATAAGAGGGGCAGATAGGTGGCACAGTGGATAGAGCACTGAAGTCAGGAGGACCTGAGTTCAAATGTGGTCTCAGACTAAACACTAAACTCTAGCTGTGTGACAGAGAGAGAGAGAGAGAGAGAGAGAGAGAGAGAGAGAGAGAGAGGAGAGAGAGAGAGAGGGAGGGAGAGAGAGAGAGAGAGAGAGAGAGAGAGAGAGAGAGAGAGAGAGAGAGAGAGAGAGAGAGAGAGAGAGCTCGAGCTGAGTTTACTCTTGGCTTATGTCATTTGGCCTGTGAGGGTGGGCAAATTTACCTCAGGTAAAATTCAGACAGCAGCAATGCTATTTGTTTCTGTGACATGTTTTCTAAATAAATTCGACAAACATTTTCTTAGTGAATTCATTCATTCATTCAACAAACATTTGCTTGGTGCCTACTTTGTACAGACACTATGTTAGGCATGAGGAAAGCCATGACATTTATGTAGTATGTGATTTCTACTCTCACACAATTTACGGTGTAGTTAGCTATATAAAGTACTTTTTAGTTTTTCAAAGAAAGTAATAGAAAAGCAAAAAGTCATTTAATATAATCCAAATCCAGCAAGCATTTATTAGGCTTTTACTTTTACTAAAGCATTGGGGACACAATGACAAAACTTACAATAGGCTCTGACCTCAAGGAGCTTACACTCTTTTGAAGGAGATACAGCATGTAAACAGATGAGTACATCCATGTCAATTTGAGGAGAAGGAGAGTATTAACACCTGGACTGAACCTTACAGAAGGCTAGGGATAGTAAGAGGTAGAGTGAGGAAAGAATGCATTAGAGTCACAGGGAAAAACCTATGTGAAAAATGATTCATTTGGATGCCTACTCTATTCCAATCAGTATTAGTGTTTTACATTAATGTTTTACATAAATCATATAGGGATAATTAGATAAGATAAATTCTTATAGTAGGCCTCAAACTTTAATCCAACTCTTGCCACTTGTTTACCAGTTATGAAGTTCACTTGCACAATGACAAGAATGCTGACAAAGATATCTCCATTCTGCTTTACTCAAATTCCCTATCCAAATCCACCATGGCAGGATGCCTTGATTCTTTGGGAAATCCTCCAACTTATTTTTATACCTTGGGACCATTCTTCCTTGCCCAAAATAAGGAGGTAACCATCTTATGACCACTTAGTCACCAGAGATGATTCTTGCCTTGCCCATCTAATAACCACTTAGTCAGTAGAGGTGTCCAGTGCTTTGCCCAATCCATGACTCTTCCACTATTATGTTGTTTTGGTCCTTAAGAGCAAGGTCTATCAACCAATGATACTCCGTATTTTACCATGCCTCTTTTATGTATTTGGGTACCAAACTCTTTAAAAGTAAGGCCCTGGGGAAAGGAGGTTTCTCAGATTATGAGAAAGATCTAAGGTTCACTTTATTAGAGGGGGCCATGGACCCTTTAATAAAATACCATTGGTTTGAAGCTCTGCCTCAGCAGTTTTTCTTGCAGAATAGACAATTCTGGACCCCACACCTGCACAGGGGACTTGGGGTGGGAGAGGGAAGGATGAGTTCAGGAATCAGCAAGTGGGTTGAAACAGTCTTGTCTTGTTGCCTTATATACACATCTATTTGCTCTTGTATGGAACAGAAATGTTAGTGATGCAAAAAGATCATCAATAAAATGTTACAAAAATTTTAATGTACAGAAGAAAACAAAAAAAGTATTGAAGCCACAAATAGAATTTTGTTAATACCTTGTTAATTTCCTATATATATGTAATATATATGGTTATTTAAAAAATAACCTGCATGCAACAGTTCGCTTTGTTATACTTTTTTTTTTTACTTAAAAGTTCCCTTTTATTATATTGTATTCAATAATACTTTTCTAGACATTTGTAGTTTTTCCAAGAACTATGGTTCTTGGGTTATTTTCATGTCATCTGGTAACAAACGTAATACATAATTTGTAGAATAAGATTCCATACTTGGTACAATGCAAACCCCTCCAGGCAACTTTCCTCGTTATAGTCTATTCCATATACTTACTATCAAGCTGAAAAAATTTAATTTAATTCAGGTTATTCTTGAAAGCTAAAAGATTCCAATAATTCAAACACCTTTACAAAAGTATGAAATTAATTTATCAAGAGGAAATGCAGTTATCATTCTTGTTACACTTGTTAAGGAAAGAAAACATCCTCAAGATTCCAAATAACAACAAAGATAAAGGATTATGTAAAGATGCACTGTTTACGTATTTAACTTTTAGTCTCCACAACCACTTCATTTCATGTATAGGTAGAATCTTCTATTCGTGCTCTAAGTTTTCTGTTTTGTGGATGTTACTGCCAGGCTTGATGCTTGATGCTCTCAGATAAATACTTAGTACAAAATTTGACAAACAAAAAAAAGTCTTTTCTTCAGCACTGTGAATATTACCTACATTTACAAATAAAAAAATCCATGTGTAAATTTTATTTCCTATTGTGAGCCAATTTTTATATTTCACTTTAAGATCTTTTAACCAAATCAACAATATGACATTTGCCCAATTTACAATTTAATTAAGATTATATTAGACTAGTCAAAGTAGAATCTTCTGAACAATTTTTAAAGCCAAAATAATTGTCAGGGCACTTTATCTAACATTCTTCATAAATACGGTATTTTTCAAAAGTGTAAGTTATTTTGGTTGGATGATCTGCAAAAATGACAACAAAAGGTGCCCTATGGCCTTTCTAACTAGAAAGAAGGTTAATTTACAGAAGCTTAGAAACCCAAGACTAGGCAGTAGGCTTGATGGGCTCTTACTTACAATGCATACCATCATATCACATATTTAAGAATTTTTCTGTATTTGGCTTTGAGGGTGTTTCTTCTTAAGAAATTGAACTTTTCTATCAAATGCACTTGATTGAATGGGTGAATTTGGTTCATAAAATGGATTCATTGCAAAGTTTATATGTAAATCATAGACATGACTAAAGAAGTTCTTTATTCCATCTTCTTGTCTTACATCATGAAGCATAATAAATCTCATATGGCTTGCAGTAACAAAAGCAAAAACAAACGACTCATTGAATTTGTCCACAGTTTTCAGGTACATGTTGTTAGATAGCCACATATTTTCATCTTCTAGGTCAAGGGCTGCATGAGCTATGAACTGGTTCAGATGACAATGATCATCCTTAGATTCCATTTTTCCAGCTGGTGAAAATTCCATTTCGAAAACCGTATTATTTTGATGGCCTACAATTACAAAGTAGAAGCTTCCAGACGTTGTTTCCAAGGTAGAGGTCCTGTGATTAGGATGCGGCACCTGCACCCACCGCACTACCCACCACCCACCACCCTCCTTACTCCGATACTATCTGTTTTCTTATCCATCTTTATATATTGAAATGTTTGTATTTGTTGATGATTAATACATTTAGAATGGAAAAAAAAATTAAGATAAAAAAGAAACTGAAAATGGCCAGTTTGCCTGGAACATGAAATTTGTAATAGCTTGGAATGATAGATACACTTAAGCCAGATTTTGAAAGGCTTTAAATGTCCAGCTGAGGAGTTTTCAGGAGGAGTTGCCAGGAATTAGCCCTTATTCTAGGGGAAACAGGGAGTCATTGAAGTTTCTTAAGGAGGGATATTACTTTCACCAAATTACATGCTGTATACAGTTAAATGTAATTCTTTAGATTGAAGATTAAGATGGTGTGTCAACACCCACACTTCCCATTTAGTATCTGGCTCAGAGTTATTCCTTCTTGGTATCCTTTAACACACTCAATTCTTAATTGTCCCAACAGGTAATTAACATTCAACCTATTCTTTATAAGTTCTGCTGAACGACCATAAAAATCAACAGCCTATAAATCTCTACGAAACATTTTATGAGTGCGTCTTTTGGTTTGCATCACAGAGCTGTTATAAAAATAAACATAAAATGCTTTGCAACAGAGTATAGAAAGTCACAACCATAAATACACAAGTCATTTTTTATACAAGTTGTTCTGTGCCAGGTGGGATGGGACACAGCCATTATCCTTGCTATGGGGGAGGCCCGTTCTGGTGGATCATGAGCTCTGGAGCTCTGAGCTGCACAGAGCAAAGCTGGTCAGGTGTCCGTTCTAAGTCTGGCACCATTTTGATAAGCCCTGAGAAGCAGAGGGCCACCACGTTGCCTAAGGAAGGGAAACAGAGAAGGTCAAGACTTCTATGCAGATCAGTGGTAGGATTGGACCATGAATAGCTACAGCTATTCTAGCCTGGGCAATATAGGAAGACCCAGTCTGAAAACAAACAAACAAACAAAAACAAAATAAAATAAAAAGTCATTCTCCCCATTTTATGGGTAGAGATGAGAATTGTATGTCATTTCAGGCAAGTATAAATAATTTACATTTTCTTTCTCCTTTAGCTACTTTTGTTATGGAGTGGATGGTCCTACTGACCAACCTGTCCCAAAGAGAGCTACAGTGAAGATTCTGGGAAGGCCCATCTTAGAGTTCCACCAAGGAGTAAGCCAAATCTTGAGGCCAGGAAAATATTGGGACAATACAGTGATTCAGTGCTACGAATAGAGTGTGAGTTTAATTTATGTTTGATGGTGATTTTGATACAGAAAGGCCCAGGGAAAGAATTCTTTGGAGACTGTGACTCCTAACCTCAAGTGGTCCTATTCTTCCTTCCTGAAAGTAATTCATTCATGCACTGGGAAATTCTCCATTCATATGCTTGACATTCTTTTTCTTGGGAGTGTTCCAGCTGTATTTTTAGCAATTCCTTTCCTTGCAGATTGTACATGCTCAGCCATCTGTGATTGGCTGGCCTTGCCTTGCTCAAGTGTGACTGGAGACTTGCGATTGAAGTTGTGGTTGGGAAGGGGGACTTCATTAGGCCTGGAATCCAGTGAAATATTCACATTAAGTCTGCTTTCACTTTGGGAAGAGTACATATACAATGTCTTAAGGAAGGCAGATTTTGTATTAGTCTCCTGCTTACAGAGAATGATGTAACATTTAGGAAAAAACATGCAACACAGAATTCCATAGTTAGATATTAAAATGACAGTGATCTCCACAGCCGGTAAGTATTTGCCAAAAGTTGTGGCATAAATGGGGATAAATATTATCCATGCGATGAAGTAAATGATCATGCCAGATGTTATGAACTTAGCCTTGTTGTAATTTGCTGGCAACTTTCTGCCTTTAAAGGCAGATATAAAGCAAACAAATGCCAGGATAGCTATGTAGCCTAGCATGGTACCAAAGGCCATGATGGAGCCCTCGTCACACTCTAAGATAATAACTCGGGGTATGGAGAAATTCTCCTCCACAAAAGGCTCTGCAAATGTAAGCCATATTGTACAGATGATCATCTGAACCCCTGTACAAATCACTATGATGGGTATGGGCTTGTAAAGGCGCTTCAGACATGTTTGTAATCTGGGGTCAAAGCTGAAGGCTAGCAGAATTTTTAGGGACTTGGTCAGGATGCAGGAGATGCACAGGGCAAAGCTCACACCAAAGAAGTTCTGCCTGGTTTTACATTTGAAGTCTTGTGGCTCTCCCACAAAAAAGCTGGTGCTGACAAAGCTAAAGAAGTGGCAAAGGAGGATCACATAGCAGATGATCAAGCCCCCAGATGACTTGACCACAGGGGTGTTCAGGTTTCTAGTAAATATTATTCCAACTGCAAGAGTGCAGACAATCCCCAGTGCCAAGAGGGTCAGGAGCAGAATGGCAAACCAGTCGTTCCAATTGAGATGCTCAACTTGCTTCTCAAAGCACATGGTACTATTCACTGGGGCCCAGTGGGTCTTATTGTTGCATAAAAGGCAGTGATCCATATCTACAATAGAGAAGAAGGCATTGGAATTGGGAGCATGCAAGTGGGCATGGGTAGGACAGGCCAGGCCAGGTTACTGTAAAGAATCATTTTGGCAGTCCTGACTCTAAAAGGAGAGGTGATTGTTCAAACATAGACAGTGGTCAAGAGGGGCTACATATAAAAATATACAGCAGCCTTAAAAAGAGGAGAGTCAGATGAGGGGGAAGGGACAAGAAAGGAAACACAGAGATGGGGTGATGGAGATTTAGCTGGGATTTAGGGACAAAGTGTGTGTGTGTGTGTGTGTGTGTGTGTGTGTGTGTGTGTGTGTGTGTATGTATAACACATCTGTACTCAAGGTAACAGAGTACCTAAAACCCAGGAAAGAAGATAAAAAGAAGGAACCTAGATTCCAGGAAGAAAGGAAGGAATATATTGCAGAGGGCCTAGTTTCTTATGAATGTATAATAATTAAAGATGTGGAGGCAGCTAGATGTCTCAGTGGATAGAGTGCTAGACTTGAATACAGGAAAGCCTGAGTTCAAATCCTTCCTCACACACTTATTTGGCATGACTAAGTGACTGGACAAGTCACTAAGTCTTTGCCTGCCTTGGTTTCCTCATCTGTAAAATGAAATAAAAATAACACCTAACTCACAGGGTTGCTGTTAGGATAAAACGAGACAACATGTAATGCACTTTGTAAACCTTAATACATTATGTAAATGCTAGCTATTATAATTAATTATTATATAGTTTTGAAACCAGAGGAATTATATCAGGCCACCTCAGAAAGTGCATGTGACCCTTCCCTGGCAGTACAGTGGTCATCACTTGGCTAGACTATTCTACAGAGGACTGGACCTATGATTTCATTGTATAGGAAACTCTCAGGTGAATATATTCTTTCTACTAGTGAAGGCCAGCACTTTTTCTGAAACTTATAGTCTTTAAGAGCTACTTAGAGCACTGAAAGGTTAAATGAGGATCATAATCAGTATGTGTCAGAGGTGGGATTTGAACTCAGGTTTTCTTGGCCCTGAGGCCAACTCTTTTATCTGCTATGCTTCAATGTCTCATACCTCCTTCTGTAACAGTTAGGTGCTGGAAATGGGGTTCACTCTGAAAACTTCAGGATGCCAGTCACTGGATTTATACTACAACGGCATCAGGATATTCAATGTAAATGATGTCTATTCCCATCCCTGCCAAATCTAGAAAAACAATCTCATTAACAAAGAAAAGGAAAATGGCTTCCTCTTTCCTTCTTGTCTTTTCCTCCCCTTCCCATTACTTCTTAAATCTGTACCTTCGTCAGCATCGGTACTCCCTCTATCAGTACAGACTATACCCCCTCTACATCACAGTTGACAGCCTTCTTGTGATGCAGTGGCTGGAAAATTCTTTACCCAGGGGTCAACCTGGAGATGAGTGTCTTTGAATGTGGCTAGACAACTCTGATAACACCTGCAAGGTCTATAGACCACATCTGTACTTTAAGCCTTTCTACTTTGATAGGACTTTCAGGAACTTATGTTCCACTGTCATGGCCTTAGAGAGCCCAGGTCAACTCCATGCCACAAGGAGACGTCCAAGTAGAGCCTTAGTGGATACTTACCTTACCCTTATACCTTACTAAATACTGCAAATTGCTATAGAGCAATGGTATCAAATTTGAATGGAGATACAACCTACTAACTTGTATGTAAGAATCCCTGTGGGTGCATATTAATTTAAAATCTATCTCTCTTTGTATAATTGTATTTTTATTTATTTTGTTAATTTTAAATTTTATTTCATTGTAAGATATTTATCTTATCATATTTGTCATGTTATATATATTTGTTATAAAATAAAAATATTTTGTTAATTTTAAAGATACATATCGTTGCATAATTGTATTTCTATTTATTTTGTTAAATATTTCCCAATTACATTTTAATGTGATTTAGGCTCCACTAGGGAATATTATGGGTCCAAGAGCCAGACTCCATGTTTGATATCTCTGCTGCAGAGGATAGGTCTCTAGCCCTGGAATTTTTTCTCATTAGACATTGGGTGGATACTTCTTCATGTCTTGCATTTGTAGTGGCACTTGAGTGCTTATTGAAATGAATTAGAGTGAATTGAAGTGGTGGAATATGAAAGCTGTTGGAATTTCATACTATGAAAAAAGGGAAGAGATCATAAAGCAATTACAATATGTTATTTAAACTGGTATGATAAGAAAAATAATAATAGCATTTTTATAGTTTTTTAAGGTTTGTAAGCACTTTACAAATGTTATCTCATTTGATCCTCTTGACAATCCTGGGAGGGAGGTGCTATGATGTCCTAGAGCTTCTCAGGAAAAAAGAAAATGGAAGATTTTGATGTCACCCTTGCCTAAAAGTAAGGGTAGCCTGGGCCATATTATCTCTCCATGTCTAGTCCAGGTCTCAGTGCTGGGGCTTGGTTGCCATTACAAACAAGACACAATGGGCAGCAGGATAATGCCAAGCTCCTCTCCTAAGTTCAGCTTCTGAGATCATGAATTGTTGTCCTTTTAAGGCTCTGATGGCTGCTGACCTCACCCTAATCCTTTAATTTGCATTCTGGAATGACAAACAATAAGTTACTAGCAACTCTCTGCTATCAGGAGTCAGCCTCCTTGTCCTTGTTGAAAGTTCCTTCTTTCATGTCTTAATTTTTTACTCTTGGTTGGTGAGAATGATAAGATCTCCCACGTACACCTGCCTGCTGCTCCCAGGTGCCTACCGGCTGCTCTTGTGCTCGGCCCTGTCATTCAGGGGTTGCTAGAGAGACAGTGTGATCTAGGGAATGATAATAATGATAATAACAATAATAACAGCTAGCTTTAACGTAAGGCTTTAAGGTTCTTAAGGCGCTTTACAAATCTTATCTCATTATCTTCATGACTACCCGATGTAGGTTATGATATAGGTGTTGTTATTATACCTCTTTTACATCCTGCTCAGCAGTTATATTTCTTTCCAGTCTGTACCCTTAACTGGATATAGCTCTTCCTTATTCTCAAAGAAAGCTATGATTGAGGGAAAATAGACCTACCTGGGGTTTTGGGAGAGCTGGAAGGACACATTAGAAAATGTCAGACTTGCAAGGAGTGGCGTAGGTTGAAGTTTTTGGAAAACTGACATGTTTTTCTTACCTGTCTGATTGCTATAATGATTTTCAGGGCAGCTCACACATTCATAGCAGCATGTATGTTGGCTTTGGGTGGTTTTTTTCATTTGACCAGGACCACATTCCCTGGAGCATTTAGATTGAATTTGCTAGAAAAAAATAAAAGGAAAAAATACTTTCAACGTTTTAACTTAGAATGTAGATATGATGGCTGGAGATTTAGATGTGTTTTTGCATCATTTTCATGACACCTGGAAGACTGCAAACAAAGTTAAAAAGCTAAAACAAATAAAATATTAATGGAGAATATTTTTTAAAGGCGGTATCTAGTTTTTCATACACTTTAAACTTTCTGTGCATATTTGTATAATTGTTAACTTTTTTCTTAATAGTATTTTATTTTTTCCAATTATACATAAACATAGTTTTCAACTGTTAACTGCTTTAAAAGGCCTTAAATATGTAGAAAAATAAGGGTGGCTAGATGGTGCAGAGGCTATAGTGCCAGGCCTGGAGTCAGGAAGACTTGAGCTTAAATTTGACCTCAGACACTTACTAGCTGTGTGACCCTAGACAAGTCACTTAACCCTGTTTGCCTCAGTTTCTTCATCTATAAAATGAGCTGGAGAAGGAAGTGGCAAACCACTCCAGTATCTTTGCCAAGAAAACCTTAAAAGGGGTCATGGAGTCAGATGTGACTGAAAAATGACTGAAACAAATGGAGAGAAATAGGCAGTAGTAGAGATGAAAGTATGATGCAGGCCTGACTCATTTCTCATTCCTAGCCAGTTACAATGTGGTGCAGTGGAAGAAACACCAGATGTGAGTCAAAGGACGTGGATTCCTTATTTTGGTGCAAATTATCCTTGTGAACTTTGGCAAGTTAGTTAACCTACCTTGGCTTTGGTTTCAACGTCTATAAAATGAGGCGGTTGGATTGGATGGTCTCTGAGGTCCTTCTAGTTCCTACAGGTTATTTTCTGGTATATGGTATCCTCTAGATCAGGGATTCTTTTTTTTGTTTGTAGGCAATTGGGGTTAAGTGACTTGCCCAGGGTCACACAGCTAGTAAGTGTCAAGTATCTGAGGCTGGATTTGAACTCAGGTCCTCCTGACTTCAGGGCCTGTGCTCTATCCACTACGCCACCTCGCTGCCCCCCTAGATCAGGGATTCTTAACCCTAAGGGTCTGTGGATAGATTTTAAAGGGTACATGAACTTTGATGGGGAAAAAAAATACATCATTAACCTCTAACTGAAATTTAGCATTTCATTCAATTATTTAAAAACTATTCTGAGGAGTCCATGGCATACAAAAAAGGTTAAAATCCCCTGTGCTAAAGACTCTTTTTTTTTCTGGGGTAAAGGGAGAGGGGAAGGTTCTGAAGATAGAGTACTAGTGAGATTTTGAAAATGGTCAAGATTAAAGTGGTGAAAGTATCCCACTCTAGGCTTAAGTTGGAGTTATTTTTATTTTTATTTTCTTGCGAGGCAATGGGGTGAAGTTGCCCAGGGTCACACAGCTAGTAAGTGTCATGTGTGTGAGGCCTGATTTGAACTCAGGTCTTCCTGAATCCAGGGCTGGTGCTGTATCCACTAGCTGACCCCAGTTGCAGTTATTTTTAAAATTTTGTTCCCAACCCTAAAGATATAAACAATATTTAAATATGTGTATTGAGCACTCTGGTTTTGGAGTTTGAAGATGTGGGTTCACATCCTAACTCAGATACAGGTTAGCTCATCTCACACAGTTCCAAGACGCTTAATCTCTGTGAGTCTCAGTTTCCTCATTTGTAAAATGGAGCTAAAAACACTTTCACAATTTACCTTGTAGAGTAGTTGAGAAGAAAACACTTTGGAAACACCAAGGTTATTATTGTTAGCATATTAATGATTATGATAGCTAACATTTATATAGCACTTTCTATATGCCAGGCACTGTGCTGAAGGCTGTATGATTAATATTTCGTTTGTTCCTTACAACAACCCTGAGAAGTAGGTGCTATTATTAGCTGCATTTTACACCTGAGGAAACTTAGGCAAACAGGAGCAAAGTGACTTGCCCAGGGTCACACAGATAGTCAGTGTTGGAGGCTGGATCTGAACTCAGGTCTTCCTGATTCCAGGCCTGGAGCTCCATCCATTGTGCTACCTAGCTGCCAATCAATTCTATTATAAAATGAATTAGAAGTAGAATTTTTGGACATTTTTTATGGTGTTATCTCTGGCACTAGAGGTGGAATGGTTTAGCCATCTAGCTGCCCCCTACTTAAACTTCCATATATTTTTCAGACAAACTACTAACTTTACATTCCCCATCCTGTATGTGTCAAGTTGACTTTTTAAAATTCAAGTGTAAGAATTTATCCCTATTGAATTTAATATAATTAGATTTAACTCAATGCTCTAATACTCACTCAACTGATATACTTTAACTTTTGCAATTATACCACACTTTACTTCTGAAGTCTTTTTAAAAGTTTAAAGTCAGATCTTCTTTATGCTAATCTGTAAATCTTCATGATACTTGCTACAGGATAAATCAATCTCAGCATATTCATTTTAATTTGAAAATAACATCTAGAGTTTAAATGCAACTTTTTCAAAGCTATCTAGATTTTTGTTGCTGAGACACTACTATAACAAATTGAAGTCTGAATCCATTCCACTGACGTACTCATCTGTTTTTATGTGGAGAAGAAAGTGAACTGACTCTAGGAGAAATGTGCCTAGGTTTTGGATGACTTCTAGTTCAGTGCCTTTATGCTGACTGATAATTTCTTTTGTTCTTTGAACATACTTATGATAAACTCTGGATTATCTATATGTAGGTTATCTGATTTGAGGATTACCCCTTTATCATCTAAAGTGCCATCCCAGGCATTGCATGCTTAGGAAACAGAAGATAATTTTTCTATTAACCAGAGCAAAAAATCATTGAGGAGATAGAGCTGGCCCTCTTCCCACTCCTATCTTTGTGTTTAGTTTATTCAGCAGGAATTGGTTGCATTTAGATTGTTTACTACTTTGAAGGATCATTTTGGCAAATCTACAGAAATTTTGGCTTCCCAACTAGTTGATGAAGATTGAGAACTGGTCTTGAAGAGAGCCTGTTCTAATACTTCATTATAGTGTGGAAGTGACTCTAGGTTCTTGAAGGCTATTCCAGCGAAGCATAAGCTCTGAAAGATTCTGTCATGTTGGAAAAGCTTTGAGTGTTCCCCAGCAACAACAGACGATGCTTGTTTTCCGAGGGCCAGCCTAGCTAAGTATAGAGAGACATTACCTTTAGGCTGATTGCTTGGTGTTAAATTCTTTGGCCATGAGAAGCCATGGAACAAAAATTCATAGATACTGCCTCATCCCTGTTCATAGTTTGAAGATATGTTTAGGAGGGTGGGGAATGGGAGAAAATGGTTTGAGAGGGAGAGAAGATACTGCCATACTCCTTCCCCAAAGTAGCTACCACCACTAACTAGACCCTTCCCTCCAATGAGGCTGCTCAAAGCACATTTCCCCCACTGTAACGTAGCCAATGACTCACATTTCATCCCTGCCTCTCACCCACCCAGTGAATTTAAGATTTCAGGAGAATTAAAGATAGATTATCTTTAATCTAGATTAGATTGAAAAGCTAGAAAAGATTGGACAATCCTGCTATACACAGTAAGAAAAGGGGTCAAGCAATGCTTACAAAGATATGATTAGTTCACCTGGTGGGTTCTTAGTCATTTAAGATAGATGGCTATGTATTTGATATGGCTACTATGATTATCAGAAAACCATAATAAAGACAAGTCACTTGGAAGTATACAGGCTATTTAACAGAGTCTTAGAAATTCTGAGTTGGAAGGGACCTCAGACCATCTAGTCCAACTCATATGTTAATAATAAGATTTAGTATTTAAATAGTATCACAAGGTAGCGAAAGTGCTTTGCAAGTGCTTTATATTGTCTCAGAGGCTGAGAAGTTAAATGATTTGCCCAGAGTCACATAGCAAAGTGTCTGAGACTGGATTTGAACTCAAGTTTTTGTGACTCCGAGTCCAGAGCTCTATTCTCTTCTCTACCTAGTTGCATCAGTGATCTTAGTAAGAAGCCACTTTAGAATACCACCTGACAAGTAGTCATCTGTTCATTCCTTGAAGACCCTGCAGGTAGTCCATTCTACTTGGGAATAATTAATAGATAAGAATTATTTTCCTTTGAGCAAATCTAAATATGCCTCTGCAATTTCAGCTAAATACAATAAATGTTTGGTGAATGAATGAATCAAATACTTCTTTAGTGGCAGCTCTTGACCCTCTTCTGAAATGCAAGTTTTGACAAGAAAAATACAATATCAACATTATGGCTTATTTCCTTTTGTTTTTTCTAACATAGTGTAGTGGAAAGAGTGCTGGATTCGAAGCTAGAAATCCTTGCCTATGGGCAAATAATTTAATTTTTTTGAGTCTGTAAAATAGGGCTAATGATACCTGTAGAACTTATATCACAGAGTTGCTATTAGGGCTTGAATAAGATGATGGGTAATTGGTGAGTGTATCACATGGCCAACCATATTTGGTTAGCCTTTATTTAGTCAAAGCCCTGCATCACCCCAGGTAACTTCTTTTCATCTGCCTGACTCTGCATTGGCAATATCCCTCCTACTCCAACCTCTTTGCTTTCCAGCCCTGCAACTATACTGAAAATCAATACTGTTATTGTTACTGGGAAGGGATGTTAATCAATTTTCTTATGGTTTTATTCATCCAGATAACTTCCCAAAAAAATCCCTTCCTGGTCAATCCTCTTCGCCCCAACTGTATGTGTTATTTCCCTCTATTAGAAGGTAAGCTTCTTGAAAGAAGGGGTTATCTTTTATATTTCTATCCCTATCACTTAGCATAGTGTTTGCCACATAAAACAGTGCTTAAAAATGCTTTTCTTTTTATTCACTTATGGATGTAAAATACTTTGTAAGCCTTGAAGAGTAATAGCAATATCAATTATTACTAATATCATTACTATTATTCTTTAAAGAAAATACCATCTTTTTCTGTTGCATTTTCATAGTGGGAATGAACATTAAATAAGGAATGTTGTTTAAAACCATAATGTTGTTTAAAACTCAGTCTTATTAGGCATGGATCCAATCTAATGGGCACTATGGTACAGGGTAGCATTAAAATACCTTTAGATTCCTGAATTCCTTTTCAGTTTTTCTGTCTTTAAAAATGAAAGCATCTTTTTCTAGATTGTATTCTGCCATGTTGATAATGGTCATGTGTCCATTGACTTCCTTCCAAAGTAGAACATTGTATCCAATGTTAATGTCCCCCTGCAAATCAAATTGAAATTCACTCTCTCCATCAGTAAATGTCACGTTTTTAAGTGCTTCAAGTAACTATGCAAAAAAAACACAAAGCAATTTATTTATTTAATAATTACTTTAATTATCTTATTATTAATTATGTTATTATCTATTATTAATTAGAAATTAAATTATTAACAATAATTAAATTAATTAATAAATAATTTAATTATTGAATAATTGCATTATTACAGTGTGATACCAGAAATTTTTGTTTGTTTGTTTGTTTTTGCAAGGCAATTGGGGTTAAGTGATTTGCCCAGGGTCACAAAGCTAGTAAATGTCAAGTGTCTGGTCTGAGACCGGATTTGAACTTAGGTTCTTCTGACTCCAGGGCCGGTGCTCTATCCATTGTACCACCTACCTGCCCTGATACCAGAAATTTTTAATGGGTGCAGCATGGTATAAGGAAAAGCAAGCTAGATGCTGAAGATGAAGAAAATTAAGCCCAGAGAGGTGAAGAAACTTGCCTATGGTCACATATAGTTAGTGGTAGAGCTAGGAATAGAATGCAGGGTCTCCTGATTGACTCACATATTCTGCCCTTGCAGATGTAAAATACTTTGCATTAGATATACTACCTATGTCTTGACTTTGTCTTGCCACTGGACTCAGCTGATTCTGGAGGAAAGAGTGGGGCTGATGACTTTGCACAGCTCTATCTCACTTAAATCCAATTCACTTGGAAGTCAAGACATCACCCTCATGATGTCATTGGTCCTTTTCGAGAATGAAGTATGAAGAACAACATCACGGTGGTAGTTATAAGAGAGGCAGTTTTTTAACCTTTTAACCTTGAAGCTCGGTATAGTTGTGAATTATCATTTTAACTATATAAATTAAAGTATTATCGATGTGCTTTCTGCAGTTGCATTGGGGCAAAATGCTAATTCTTCCTTTGTCAATAACTAACTTGTTTTTAGAAAACTCTTCTTTAATCCTATATAGAGAGCTCAAAGCATGTTCTTCTGAAATGAAACATATGAGGGAATAAAAGAAATGTGAGCAGCATAATTGAATGTGGCTATTTTGAGTAAATCCATATCTGTGGTACTATTGATTGATTATAATACAGCTTTACCTCCAAATATTTTAATACATAGCCATCTCCAAGTCCACCATTCTGACTGCATCTATCTCAATATAGGAGCAAACTATTGAGCTGCCGAGATGAAGGTTCATGAGCAGAAGCATAGACTGCCAATGAATGATCTCTGTTAAGAGCTTGGGCAATTTGGGGGCCCTTGTTCTCTGTCAATTCTAGTTGTTTCCTCACTGGGTAGATTTGTGACATTATTGGACCAATCTAGAGGAACAATAGATCAGATCTGAGATGCAGAACTATAAGTGCTGCATAGAAGTCCCTCCAGTGCCAAATTTAGAGAGCTCTGACAGTACTTGTATTCCTTCAGCAGAGTAGAAACAATGACACTTAACGTCTAGTTAGGAAGAAAAAAAATAAACTAGGAAAATATAAGATGGAAAGGTTGGAGTGAGATCTTCCTCAGTCCCATTTTGCTTTACCCCATCACCTCTGCCAGTGGAGGGCATAGTTTGTGTTACTTGTCCCAACATAAAAGTTTCTATTTGCAGTTCTGGTGAGCCCTCACAAGTAGTGGAGTAAATCTTATTCAAAGAAATAAAAAAAGAAGCAAAAGCAAAAGAATTCATACTGTGCCTTCAAGACCTGCTAAAATTTGTCCATCAGTTTTCTTCCTTTTTTTCTTTTTGGAGGAAGTTAGGGTTAAGTGACTAGTCCAGGGCCACACTCCAGGACTGGTGCTGTATCCACTGCACCACCTAGATGCCCCTCTTTTTTGTTCTTAATAAAGAGGTACAAGGTCCACTGATTTAGTTCATTACTAATCATATCCTTTTCCATTCATGTTTGAACTGTAATAGTTACTTGTTTTACCTTAATTTAATTAGATTTAAAGCGGTAAAGATTTGATTATTGTGTGTTCTATAAATAATGATAACATTTGTGTAATATAAATAAACTAGAGCAATTATGTTCTTGTTTATTCCATGGGGAAAAATACTGAGGTGAACAAAACATATTACTCATCAATTCTCACACAGTATTATTTATCGTAAATCCTGATTATTAATGTTCCAGGTATTATAGGTAGTTATTTTCCCTTACATTTCTGCTACCATATTTTAACACTTGGACTATGTATTTCAAAACCATAAGGCTTATACAGATATGAAGATTTGGAATGTACATTTCTGGTACTATATGATTTACTGTAGTACGTTAACCTCTTGTCCCCACAAATTGCTTTTCTCCGAGTGAGAAGAATTAGAAATAACTCCAATCCAGGGCAGCTAGGTGGTACAGTAGATGGAGAGCTAGGCCTAGAGTCAAGAGAACCTGCATTCGAATCTGGCCTCAGACACAACACTCACTAGCTGTGTGACCCTGGGCAAGTCACTTAACCCCAAATGCCTCACCAAACAAGAAATAACTCCAATAAATGGTTTAGTTTATGCTACTTCCCCCCGCTACATTCATAATCGTTTCCTAAAAGAAACAGGTATTTTATTTCAGGGGCTGATTGAATCACCGGATTCAAATAGTGGTGAAAATGGATCAACATTAACATGGAGGGATTAACATGGGTATTTTGCCCTGAACTTGGGCAGTTCAACACGTTTATGAAAGACTTGGATAAAGAAATGTGTTATACCCAAGTAGGGTGGCTATCTACAGTGTAGCACCTCACATGTTTTACCTAGATGTGGAGATAACAACTTGTTCACTGGGTTGGCTTACTTACTTCAACTTGCTCTCATGATGGCAGGTCTGTGTTCCCAGAGAAGGACTATCACCTTGTGGTTAGATTCAAATTTTCTTGGGGTCAGAATAACCCTATTATTGGAGAATGTACTTTTCTTACATACCACTTTAGCTCTGGAGCCCCCACTGATGCATTTCTACTTCCACATACTCACAATGATGACAATTTTAGGTCTTAAACATAACAATTTACCCACCAATAAAGCAAAAGAAATAATTGCAACATCACAGGCACTTGTGTATTAAGCAATGGCATGAGTAGTAAAATGCATCACAATGTATACATAAATCTGGACCATACTGTCCCATCAATGTACTGAGTATCGGTGTGAGAGAGTAGGTACACACAGGAACCCATCAGGGAAGCCTATAAAAGAGGAAAACCCATGTGCTCACAACTCAGAACTTCAGACTTTGATGTCATTGGTCTATTCAGGAACAGCTGCTCACTTGGAACTACTTCTCTGGTAGCTGCTTTTCTGTGGGTCTTCACCACTCTCTTCTATATTTGGACCTGATGCAGCATTTGCAAACTCTTACAACTTGTAATCACCCTTAAGAATGTGTTGATAAAGGTTACCTCTTAATTTTAATAGCAGTTACCCTTAAGTCAAAGAACTGCTCATTAGGCTGGCTATTTGTGGGCTAAACATACCAGCCCAACCAGGATTCTGAATTGTCCAGTTTGAACAGAGTTCATAGCAAACAGCTCAAGAAGACTCTCTGCATAAGGCAAACAAGCCTAACCATTTCTTCATTCACCAAGATTCTGTATCATGTACTTGTACTGTCAGCATCAGCAAAGTGACTGAAAAATATTTTTCACTTTTCTGCCTTTTGTTTTCAAACCAGATGGGGGCAGCAAATAGCAACATTTGCTTTACTTCTCTTAAACTTTAAGTGATAGTGAAATGCAATGTCTGGAACTGAAGCTCTTGTCCAATGAGGTTGTGTTTCTCTCCACCAATGAAGAATCATATAGGTGAAGCCTTCTATATGTTGACTTCCTGATGCAGTGCCTTAATGAAAATCTTAGACAGAGCTGCTTTTGATTCCCTGCTGGTTCTTCAATATGCATTTTCATACTTCTTCCCTCTTCGGTCTCAGTCTCCTATCCCTGATTGTTATCAGTGGCTTAAATCAGAACTCCCTGGTCCTCAATGACTCACCTTTTGTGAGTCATGAAATTCTCCTAAGAAATCAACAATCTGTTGAAGATTACAATTCAGACATTGTATGATCTTATGATCTCTCTCTCTGTTTCTCTCTGTCTCTCTGTTTCTGTCTCTCTCTCTCTCCCTGTCTGTCTTTTACCCTTTGATGTGATAAAAGCAGCTCTATATAAATGTTCTGAGAGACCATGATGCCTTGAAGCTCTACGTTCTCAACATGACCCTCAATCTCATTTTGTGTCCTTGAAACTGTGTGTCTTTGTACTTACATTATCCAGCTCATAATAAATATGTTCTTTCTCTTCCCTTTTAAACCATTAAATTGTTCACATACAAAGAAGGCATCATCTTTCAACTTTTACAAAGTGATTGAGTCATTATATTTATGCCATGGTTTATTTTCTGTTCCAAACTGCTCAAATCCCATCTGAAAACTATTTCTTCCTACATATGTTTTAGGAATTTTTATTAAACCAATTTTTTTTTCCTATTCCTTTCAGACACCAAAATGTTCATCTATGTCAGAGACAATAATATCTTATACCCTTTACCAGTTGGTATAACTCTTTTTTTTTCACAAAGCACTTTTTCTTTTTGCCCCCCCAACCCTAAATAGTTGCATATAGAAAAGGAAGTATCTTAAAGTGACAGTACCTTACAAGTGTCATGCTTAAAACTTTGTGGATGACACAAAACTGGAAGGAGTATCTACTACATTGCATGACTGAACTGGAATTCAAAAAGACTAGAATAAGGCAAGAATGATGGGCTAAATCTAATAAGATGACATTTAATGAAGATAACTGTAAAGTTATACATTTGGATTTTAAAAACTAAGTGTATAAGTAAGTACTAGATTGGGAAGGCCTAGCTGGAAAACAGTTTACAAAAAAAAATCAGTGATTTTAATGGGCTACAAATTGTTTACATTCTCAGAGATTTCATGGAAGCTCAAAGCTTTCATGGACCTAGTTGTCATCTCTCTGAGCATTGCTCCCAGATCTCCATATTCAGTCATCATCTGATTACCTGAGCTCTAGCTCCACATCTCCAACTGCTGGATATCGATCTCAAACTCAACACGTGCAAAGCAGAACTTATTTTCTCTCCCTAAACCCACCTCTCTTCATGACCTGGTGGACCATGTTCTCCATGGAGTTTCCATGGCAAAGATACTAGAATGGTTTGCTATTTTCTTCTCCAATAGATGAAGGCAAACAGGTTAAATGACTTGCCCAGGGCCACATAGTGTCTGAGGCTGGATTTGAATTCAGATCTTCCTAACTCCAGGTCCAGCACTCTATCCACCTAGCTGCTTCTCCTTTTCCCTTCCTCTGTTTCTGTCAGTTGTACCACCATGTTTCCAGTCTCCTGGTTGGTAACCTAAGAGCCATACTCAACTCCTTTATTCTCACTAACTCCTCTTAGTTGTCAAGTGTCATAGATTCTACTTTCTCAATATCTCTCACTTCCATTCCTCTCACTGAGGCCCTTCACTCCTTTCCTGGATTGTGGCAATAGATAGACCAACACCAATTGGTCTCTAATAGCGTACCAATAATAATTGGTCTCCCTATTTATAATCTCAATTTTTGTAAACTGTATTCTACACAGCTGTTCCATTAATATTCTTAAAGCATAAGTCTGATCATTTTACTCTTCTGCTCAAGAAACTTAAATGGTTCCCCATTGCTTATAGGATGAAATAGAAACTTCTTAGTCTGAAATTTAAAGTCCTGCATAATCTGCCTCCATCCTATCTTTTCAGGTTGCTTAAGCATTTCTCTCACATATACTCTGTGCACCAGGTGACCTGGACAATTTGCTATTTCCTGTACATGACATTCCATTTCTTCCATCCATACCTTTCCATAGGTTGCTCCTCATGCTTAAAATACTTTTCCTCCTTACCTCCATTTCTTGGAAGCTCTAGCTCAGTTCAAGGCTCAGTTCAAGTATCTCCTTTCCTGCTTCTTCCAGTTACCACTCCACGCTACCCTCTTCATGGTATATGTAACCTGTATTTACTTATCTGAGAGCATGTTACATTTCCCTAGTAGAATTTAGGCTCTTTGAGGCCAGGGACTTGTATTCCCAGCACCGAGCACAGTGCCTGGAAGATAGTAAGTGCTTAATGGATACTTGTTGATTGGTTAATTATCTAGTTTGTACATTATTCTGGCTCTCTGCCTCATCTTCCTGCAATTGTCAGAGGATATCAATGTTTATTAGCACTTTAAAGAGAGAAGGGAATCTCAAACCATACCATTATTGTAACATTATACATTTGTTTCCAGCAGCACTTTACCAGAAATTCTATTGTTACTTTGGGACCCTTTCACTATAGCCTGAATGTTCTCATAAAATGGCTGTCTTCATCAGAGGCAGAGAGAGCTCATTGTGGAGAAATGGAAAGAGTCAGAGACTGGATACTTGGAGACCTGGAATCTAGCCTCAGTGCTAATACTTGCTAATAATAGCTGTCAATTTGCTTAACTTCTGGGCTTAACTTCTGGGCTTCTGTTTGCTTATCAGTCAAATAGGGAATAAAATGACCCGACCCAACTATGTTCCAGAATTGTCATGAGGATATATAGAATTGCTGTGAGGATAAGATGAGATAATAGGAAATTGTGTTGTATAAATGGAAGTTATGGCTACGCTGTACTATACTGTACTGTACTACACTATACCATTCTATACCATACCATACCATACCATACCATACCATACCATACCATACCATACCATACCATACCATACCATGCCATGCCATGCCGATGCCATACCAGACTATATGTAGTATACTATACTACACTACACTACTATACTATACTATTAGGCTAGATGATCTCAGTCAGAGATGATATTTACAGATGATTCTTCCAGGTGCTTTGTTTCCATTACGCACATTGGAGAATTCCAGAATCACACAGTGTGGTATGAGCAATATATTTGACCCCTCTTACATACACATTAAACTAATTTTTTCCTTAAAAGGTAAATTTCTCGAGATTTAGTTTGCTCAGGAGACTAATGACTCTATTGACACCATTTTCTTATCCTCAGTATGAAGAGGCCATGAGGAACACCTGGAGGGGTCCTCAGATGTGTGACTAGTGGATGTGATGAGAGGTTTGCTTCAGCTCAAGGGTTCACCAATACCTATCCTTATTCTTCTCTTGTTATGGCTAAGTGAATCTCCTCTCATTAAGTGTTTAATAATCCACAAGTATCTAATTTTTCCCCCAATATTGAACATAAACTACCAGGGGACTGACTGGCCTGAGTCAGGCCCAAGACAGAACACACAGAATGAGAAAGAATATCTACAATTCTATTGATTGTTTAAGAGGCTATTGTAAGCAGTCCCAGTGAGAAAGTCTATTAGAGTTGAGAGTCTCCAACTAATATCATCAGAGTTCTAGTACCATTATAGCTAGGTCTCAGTTAGTTCAAATAATGAATTTCTCAAAGTTTTTGAATTATCCAAATTCTCATCACCTATTTCCATTGGGCTGGAATCAATGATCATATTTTATATAATTGCAAATTTGAATGGTGCAAATTTGCACACATGCAACCACTTCAGGTGAAGTCATTAATTGCATTAACCACACAGGACTTGCTGCATTCTAAAATTAGACCATGATAAAAGTGACCACCATTAAAATAATAATTTATACTTATGGTCATTTAGGAAGAGGCATGTTTTGGGGCCCTGATTCTTCCTAGTCAGTCTCCTCCTGATATACATAAGTTTGTCTATGTACTGCTTAAATTCAGGATCTACAAATTTAATATATAAAGATGCTGGCTAATGTGCAAAGAAACAGTGGGACTACTTTTCCAGCTAAATGACAGATTACACCTCTTCATTTTCTCTACAGTTTCATCAAACTAGCCTATTGCTGTTTCCCATATATGGAACTCCATTTTTTCTTTCCATGCCTTTCACTGGCTGTCCCCCAGGTCTGGAATATACTGCCCATTGCCTCTTTCTCTTAGAATCCTTAGTCTCCTTCATGACTCAGCTCGAATCCTACATTCTACATGAGGTCTGTCCTTATTCTCTCACCTGTTACTGCTCTCCCCCTGGAAAAAAAATCATGGTGGGTCAATTTGATATATAGTTTTGCATATCTACGTGTGTACATGTTCTCTTCTGATGTTGTAAGCTCCTTGTTATCAAGGATTGCTATATTTTTGTCTTTATAACCCCATCACTTAGCATGATGACTGAAGCATAGTAGGTGCTCATTAAATACTTATTGCTTACTGGATTATCTATTTCCCTGTTCTAAACAAAGTATTTCCATCAATGAAGCCTAAGGCTACATTAACTCTTTTGGTTTCCATTTCATAGTATTCATTCATGTTGAGATTTAGACCACTAAAATGACTCTTTTTTCACATAAGCTGCTATTTGGCCTTATCTCCCTCATGAGTTCTTTCACTAAAGTGTAGGGTTTCCATTTATCTTTAGGATTTCATTTTATTAGATTTGGTATATTGTTTGGTATATTGGTATGTTAGATTTGGTACATGGGTATATAGTCCCTCAAGATCTTTTTGGATTATGATTCTATCATCCAGAATAGTAACTATTCTTCCATTGGCCATCTCCACACTTGACAAAGTTTTGTTCAATTCACTGATAAACTATTGAAAAGGATAGGGTCAAGGACTAGGTCCCATAGTGTGTCTCTAGGTGAGATCTCCTTCTGGAATGACATTAATCTATTAATCAACCTTCTTTGGGTCTATTTGTTCAACCAGTTCCAAATTCACCTAGCTGTGCCATCATTTGGCTCATATCTCTCCATCTTGTCCATCAATATATTGTGAGTTCACATATCTGTTGTGGACTTCATTCTTAAATGCTTTGTTAAGTGCTCTTCCCATATGTCTTATTTTTTTTTCAAGTTATTTTGTTACGCTGCCAGGCATCTTAGAGATTCATTTGAGTTAATGAATCATTAGCATCCTGATTCATTCAACAAATATTTGTTAAAGATCTACTGTGCTAGTGTTGGAGGCAATAAAAGGATAAATAAGCCTTTCCCTGCCCTCAAGGAATTTATAATTTAATAGGAGAGATATGTTTATAATATCACTTTGAATATGACAAACACACATGAGTACAAACAAAATGCATATGCCACTGGGAGGGTTAAGAAATCTATTTGTCACTGATACCTTAGTGTAAAAGGATAGATTGTTTCACGCTACTTTCCTCTTCAATTTTGTGTGTTGCTCTTTAACACATCGATTTAAGACAATTATATTGAACTATGCAAGTCCAGGATTAAATTCGACTGAAATTGGGAAATTGTGAATTGTAGTGACTAAATTAGATCATTAGCACTTGACGCCATTCTCCTCAAAAGTTAAATACCTCCAAATATGCTGCTTCGAAGTATTCATCTTTTTACATACTCATATACATACCTACATACAATCATGGACACACATGTACATATGAACTTACATACACACTTTAATGATACCATCAGAGAGAAAAGCTGAATCTACCTGAAAGCAATGTATAGTAATAATAGCTAACATTTGTACTGTGCTTTACATATATAATCTTATTTGATACTCATAACCACCCTGTGATCTCCATGTTACAGATAAGGAAACTAAGGCTGAAAGAATTTAAATGACTTGTCCAGGGCTGCACAGCTAGTGTCTGAGGTGACATTTGAACTCAGGTCTTTCTAACTCCAAGTTTGTCACACTATGCTACATAGCTACATAGCTACATCTACATTGTTTGCTATAGTCTGAACTCTACACACATTACAAGCACCAAGGAATAAATGAAGGAACAGGTAAAGGTAGAAGTCAAAACCTTTTGGGCTCTATTACTGTATTATAAGAAGTTGTTTCTCAAGTTATTTTCCTATTATAGGCCCAATTCCTCAAGAGTGTTGGCAATATGATACTTCAAATAATTATCATCTATATGTAATTCTATATACATACAATCATGTGTCACAGCACATTAGCAGGTCCTGAATTTCTCCAGGTGTGCCATTCAACTCCTCCTCAAACCTTAAGACTTCCATAATTCCCAACTTTCACTCTGGTTGTAATTTGCTTCCTGTCCTACCTTGATTCACAGCTGCAAATCAGTATGTAAATTTGCCTCCTCTGCTGGGAATCCTGGGGAAATAAATGAAGAAGAGGAATCTCAAGGCTTCAGTAATGGGTCTAGAGACCAGACTTCTGGGAATCCTTCTTTGCTGCCAGCTTAAATGTTTAGTGTACCCGGATGTCTTGTAGCAAAGAATGTGGTGCCATTAGCAAAAACAAAACAAAAAGAAGTTGAGAATTGCTAGTGTGCAATAAAAAAATGACCCTGGCTTCTAGCCTTAGTAATTCCTTGTAATTTTTAACTTCATTCTCCTAAAGGCCTTATATTTATAAGGTGAGAACAAAGGACTCAAACAAGTTAATTCAAGTAATTATTATTATTTTAGAAATTCCTTTGACTCTTCCATGTCCTGATTTTCGTAAGCTGCTGCTCCAGAATGCTCTGTGTGAGATTTTGAAAAATGAGTTTTAAACTTTTGCTTCCACTGCACTACACTGCCTCCCATCATCACTGATAATGTCAATTGTCAGATCATGTTATCATTCTCTCTTCCATTCAGTTTGGGCCTCAGCCCGTTGTATGATATCTGTCCAATACAATATCCATCTAAGCTGTATCGATGGACCAACTAGCTTAATAGATTGTACTTCTAACTGGACCTCATAATTTGGGTAATAGTTATTCCTTATTTACTTTTTTTTCCTGTGAGGATTGTTAGACTGAACTCTCGAGTGTTTGTGTCTTTCATTTAGTACACTCTGTAATATTTTGGCACTTCAAGCAATTAACACAAAGCAAACAGCATATAGGTGAATTTATGATCTGTAGGCAGTACATCATACATTTGGACTTCATGTTAGACATCCTTCATGACAATGATGAATACCTTTGATGAGCATATGTCTTTCTATTTTGTATCTCACTTGATATTGTTAACTAGAGAACCACTGAACCAAAAAAAATCCTTGTTACGTCTATCAAAGAATTTTGTATGATCTTAAAACAAGAGTGGGAGAAATCTTGTTGGAGGTGAAGCTTTGCAGCTATAGCAAATATTTGATCTTTATCAAAAGAAGGGACATGAAAAACAAGGGCAAAACAAGGTTAGAATGAAAGTTTGTTCACTAAAAACTTTACTGAGGAGGATGGAAAACTATGAACAGTATCCCCTTATAAGCTCAGAGGGAAAAACAGTGAAAGAGCAAACAAGTTTACAGAAAACTTGCCATGACATCTGATTACGACGGGTAACTATTTATGACCTTTTATAGCCAGAACTATTTAAAGACAAACTGTAAAAGTGGAAGAACAATGGAACAGATCTTTCAGCATTTTCTATGTGTAATATATTTTAAATTCATGACTTCTAGAGTCCTTTCTAGATTTAAATTTCAAAATCCTCTGATCTTCATGCTTCATGCTACTTGGCCCTCTTGGGAGTAAGAGAAAGCCTTTGCTGTGTATAGTTTTCATAAATTAGAAGAGAATTTTAGCATTAGAAGAGAGCACCTAATCTATCCTCACCATTTTGTAGATGAGGAATTTGAGACCCAAAAGCCATGAAATGACTCAGTTAAGGCCACATACCTAGTAAGAGGCCAAGACAGACTTGGAAACAAGATCTTCCAAATTTATACTACATTGTGCAAAGGCAACACAAGTACCTTTCTAAACTAATGGGGAATCAGCATTTCCATTAACTAAAAAATGATATACTGGCTAACTCATTTCCCCAGATTCTTCATAGGTCCTCTTGCCCAGGGAAGATCTATATCATGCATGTTCGAAAGTAAACTACAAATGAATGAAAAAGCACTCATTAAGTGCTTGTTGTGTGCAAAGCATTATGCCAACCACTGTAGATACAAATAGAAAAGCAAGACAGATTTCAAGAGAAGACATACCTGTAGAATGAGCTGTAAATTCAACATCCTGGAAACAGCCATGGTTATTTCTGAGTAGCTGTCTCCTACGACAGCTTTAACTCTTGGTGTGTAGTTGGAATAGTTGCACTGAAACTCCACAACGTGTTGGGAGCAGTTGAATTTAGAGAGGAGCCTCAGCATGGCTGCTATTGCTATTGTGATTTCAGTGCAAGTGTCATAGATCTCATACCCAAGTTTAACTCCAGGTAACAGTGAGGAATTATTGATTACTTCAATGCTGTGTATCATGGCAAGAGTTTGAAGAAACACTGAGATTTCAAAGCTGCCAGGAAATAAGTATTTTTAAAAAATAAGACATTATATGTTGATAAGCCCTAGTGATGCCTCGTTTCTCTGAGATCTTTGGATAATGAAATGCTATACATAAGTAAATTGTCCAGATAAGTGAAGACTATTTTTTTCAAACTTTATCCATTTGAGCCTTTTTTTTTTTGGTGAAAATATTTCTCTGGTGCACACTTTGACTTTTGAAGCAGAAAATTATAAACATAACTTTGGCTTGATGACTTTGGGTTATTGTTTTGATTATCTGCTCTTTAATGTTCCTGTCTCCTCTTCATAGACACACCCCTATGTATGAAGGGAATCTGACATAGGGGGCTATCAGATCAAAAACTATTAACTGTCCTTTCTCATAGTGTCACTGTGCCTGCCCCTCAATTCTTACTCCCCTTCCAGTTTGCTGCTTCTAACCTCCCTTCAGCAGGCAAAATCATTAATCAAGCTCATTTGGAAGTATATATTAAATAATGATCAATAAGATTGAATGAGAGCTTATACCCTGTCTTATTGAATAAAGTGTCTCGTTTCAGTCCTGATGCTTGTGATAGCTATTTCCAGGGCTCAGAAGACAATTTATATTTGTTTTACTATTTCTGACTAGAATGAGGGAAGTGTTGAGGTTGTTGGCTATCTGTAAGGGTAAGTGGGATAACAGCTTTCAGTATTTTTCTCAAGAGATAGTTCTTCATTCTCGGAGTTTCTAAGAGAATTCAAAAATTATATAGAGAGTTTATAATTCAGAAAATTTTTCTTCATTCTCAGAGTTTCTAAGAGAATTCAAAAATTATATAGAGAGTTTATAATTCAGAAAATTTTATTATACACATATACATATGTTTATGCATATAAATACTATATAAAATATATAAAATCAATACACATGCTGATGTTACAGAATGGAACTTTTTATTGTTATCTTGATTTAAAATTTCAAGTTTTTCCCACTTTAGGGTCAGACATTTTGGCAAAATGCCAACTCCATTCTCCCTCTTTGACTTAGTTAAATATGTCTCCAAACTTTGGCTATTCTTTGGGTACCAAGAAGACACGTTGGGGAGCTGAATTAGTTCTCTATTACCTTTAGCTGGAGAGAGTGAAGGCAATTTACAGAGTATCTAATTTCTATCATGAGATACATCTATGTTCTAAGGTAATCTGACTTAGTGGGCTATCAGATAAAAGCTAGAGGGATTTATAAGGAATAATACTGCCTGATACTAAAAAAATCTCTGAGGTTTACTTCTTATTTAGTAATTTTTTTGACAAAGAGAGAAAAAGATGGGAGAATCATAGACTCATAGAATCTTAGGGTTTACTTAATTCAACCTTCTTTTAGGAAACTACACTATTTCCAGCAGTTAAAAATGTAATGATGTGGCAGATGTGTCATCTAGCTACAGCTTGAATACCTCTAAGTGACAAGGCAATTACTATAATTTTCCATTCAATTTAAAAATAACTCTAATAATTGAAGAAGTTCTTTCATATATTGAGTCAAAATAAACTGCTTCCCTGAAACTTTTGCCTATCAGTCCTTGATCTGCCCTCCCTTCACCCAAAGAACCTCATAAGAGCCTTTTTTTTTCTATAGAAGAGCATTTCAAGTATTTGAAGATAGTTATTCATGTTGGAGGTAATGCTTGGCCTGAGTGATTCTTCATGTCCTTTCCTATTGTAAGAGTCTATACTCCTCCTAAGTCTTCTCTTTTCCTGGCTAAACATCACAAGCTTGTCAATGTTCTTTAAATGTGGAAACCAGAGCTGAATACAACAGACTTGATGTGGTCATACTAGTTTGGAATACAGTATAACTATCACCTTTAGACACTGTGCTATTATTAGATTTTTTAGTTATCCACATTATAATCCTAAAACATATTAAATTTTCAAGCATCTAAAACTAATAGTCCTTTTCTAACATAAACTATTATGTCAGATTTTCCACCTCATATGTGTGTTTAATTGATTTTTTTGGACCTAAGGATAAGACTTTATCTTTGTTCACATTACATGTCATTTTATTAGAATCAGTACTCAAGATCTTGCCAGTTCTGCTATCCAGTTTTGACCATGCCTTCTATGTCTTTATCCAGTCCACTGATTAAAAAAAAAAAAGTTGAGCAGAGTAGGACCAAGGACAGAGATCTGCTGCTAGAGATCTTTCTCTAGATCAGTGCATTCACTTAACTTGCTTTTACTTAGTACTTAACATATATGCAACGTGCTAAGCCAGGCTTTGGGGATACAAAGAATACTGATACATAGATACTACAAAATGTATGCAAAGTGAATGTAATGTGATTTGCAGGCTAACTAAAGGGTACAGGAAAGGAAGACTATGGCACCTGAGATGATCCTTGAAGGAAGCTGAGCTTTTGTCATCCTTATCCCCTTTCCCTTTTCTTTCTGTATATGCATTCACCCTAGAAGATCTCATTCAGTCTCATAGCTTTAACCACCACGATTATGTAGAAGATTCCAGCCCCGAACATTTCTGGTATTTCTTAGGATCAGAATTGGGATTTTATCCCATAGCACTGACAACATAATGCCACCCAGAGTGTGAAGCAGTCACAATTCTGCACATGTGCTATGAAAGATTTACCAAAGTCTTACCTATCATATTCACTAGGATATTACTTATTGGTGCTCATATTGTGACCAAGAGCAGTTAGCAACAGTTTTCTAGGAAGGCTATTACAGGATCTCTGCGTGTGGGCTATCTGAAAACACTCTACAGCTCTGTGTGTATGTGTGTGTGTGTGTGTGTGTGTGTGTGTGTATGTGTGTGTGTGTGTGTGTGTGCGCCATACCACTTGCCTTTGGATTATTCATTTGTTCCACCTCTTATAATTGGGTGCACTGCTCATGTACTGATGCGTTTAGTTGCTTTGCTTTTACAGGCTCAATGGTCTCCTGTAATTAGAAATTTATAGATGTTTTAGTATAAGGATAGGCCCGAAGATAAGATTTCAAATCACTGCTTGACAACAGAGTATTTCACAAAGCATGCTGCTTTACTCTATATGAGCTTATTTCCCAGAAAAAGGAGTCATTTAAATGTTAGTGCCACTTTTTTTTTTGTTGTAAAAAACACAAACCAGAAACAGGGATTTCCCTTTGTTGAGGAATGGCTGAACAAATTGTAGCATCTAAAAACACAATGGAATGCTGTCATATTGTAAGAAATGACTACAAATTGGGAAAATTCAGAGAAATGCGCTGAGACATTCATGAATTGATGTTGCTGTGAAGGGGGCAAAACCAGGAGAAAATGTACACAGTGATCATAATAACATATTAAAAAAAACAAAATGACACCAAAAAAAGACCAAACTTTGAGCAATTGTAATGTCCAGTCTGGGACAGCTAGCTGGTGCATGGATAGAGTGCAGGGCTGTCAGAAAAACTCATCTTCCTGAGTTCAAATCCAGCCTCAGACACTTACCAGCTGTGTGACTCTGGCTAAGTCACTTAACCTCATTCACCTTAGTTCCTCATCCATCAAATGAGCTGGAGAAGGAAATGGCATACTGCTGCAGCATCTCTGCCAAGAAAACCCTTAAAGGGGATGACAAAGAGTTGGACATGACTGAAAAACAACTGAAAAAATGTCTGGTCTTGGTCCCAGAAAACATATGACAAATGTTAACTTCCTCCTGTCCTGAGAATGGTGGGAGATTAGATGTGGATAATGTCACATGCCCTGTCAGAAGTTTGGTCTTGCTTAATGTTTTGTTGTTGTTATGAGGATGGGCTTGATGGTCAGTGGTTTATATCTAGAGATTTCTGTGATGTAAAAACAAAAGACATTAACAAAATTAATATTTTTAGAGTCAATAACTAAAAGTTACAGCAATGATTTGCTTTATGCTATATTTTATGCCCTTTTAAAAACAAGTGTGAATACACTTCACATAAATAAAGGGAGACAAATAACTGTAGAAATAATTATTTAAGTCTAGGCTATGTTAATATACTAAAAATGCTGACACTATTGAAATTAATTTATAGACAATGTCACATATCTCAGACTACCAAGAGGCTGTTTATAGAAATAGAAAAATAATTTTAAGGTTCAACTGGAGGAACAAAAGACTAGTGGATCAATCATGACTTTGATGAAGTATGCCTGCCATCTCATGGAAGGGAGGAGATATTATAAAGCAGAAATAACAATGGCTCTGGAGTCAGAGTAACTGAGTTCAAACCTCACTACTGATATTTACTACCTTTTTGACCTTGGGTATTTACTTAACTTTTGGGGTCCTCATTTTCCTCATCTGTAAAATGAGATTGGACCAGACAGATTTCCTATGTCGTAGATCTAGAACTGAAAGGGGGGCTAGTTTAGTGGCATCACACGCTTTGGTTATACATTGCATATCTAACAACACCATTTAAAATATTATGTTAACAGAGTACTATTAATTACAAATAACTCCTCATCCATCCTAGAAAAGAGCTCAGCCAGATCACTCCCCTGATAAGATCACGTCTACCGGTCACAAAGTGAACTGAAGGTTGGTTTTTATCTGGTAGGTCTGAGCTATCTACAATCTATGTGGAAGATTCTGATCACAGAACCTAATCGTTAGACTGTGGACACATCTCTCATCGCTATTTTCTATTTCTTGATTCTGCGTCCCTCTCCATCATACCAAGTGCTGCTATAATTTTTAGGCTCATTTTTGAAGTTATCATGTGTTCTACCTTTCCAGTCATAATCTTTGCTTCCCTCCATGTATTCTAGAATCTACTGACACTGACCTCAATGCTGTTCATTGGACAAGACACTCCATCTCTCAATTCTGGGCATTTTCATCGGCTCTTATTCCCCATGCCTAGAATTCTCTCTCTTCTCCCTTTTTCTTCCTGGTTTTCCTGGTTTCTTTCAAATTTCAGCTAAAATTCCCACCTTCTTTAAGAAGTCTTTTCTGACCTTACTTCCCTTAAGATTACTTCCAAGTTGTACACACACACACACATATATACACATAGACATATATAGGGTATATCTGTATATGTGTACATATATATGCATACATACATATTCACATATATGTATGTATCTTGTTCGGTCATGTCTGACTCTACATGACTCCATTTGGGCTTTTCTTGGCAAAGGTAATGGAGTGGTTTGCCATTTCCTTCTCTAACTCCTTTTACAGGTGAGGAAACTGAGGCAAACAGCTAAATAACTTGCCCAGGGTCACAAATTAGTAAGTAATTGAGGCTGGATTTGAGCTCAAGTCTTCCTGACTCTAGACCCTGCATCTATTCACTGCACCAGCTATCTGCCCTACATATCTCCTTAGTATATAGCTATTTGCATGTTGTCTCCTCCATTAGGGCTCCTTTAAGGCAGGAATGTTAAGTATCCTAATTATAATGCCACTTTAAAAACAATGAAAATCACTTTTCTACTTTAACATAGGTCCTGACACATAGTAAGTGCGATTGACTTCAATTATCATATACATTTCATTCTAAGCACAAAGTCTCGAACTTTAGAGTGCCAAAAGGGTATGACCACTCACAGCATTCACATAATACAGGAATGTAAAGCTTCATCAAGGTAAGAACAACCTATCTGCTTTCTTCCCATTCCTTTACTCTTTACATACACATACTTCTCTTTTCTCCATTCAAATCTATCTTTGAAAAAAACCTCCTTTAATTGCCCATTTCAGCATTTAACACTGTTCATCTCAATATTCTATTTTTATTGCCTACCCTAAATTTTTCATACTCCAACTTAAGCTACTATTATTTAGTCCTTGCCAGAGACTTAAGAAAACAAACAACCCAATGTTCATTGACTTTTGTGTGATAAACTGCCTGTACTTAAAGAATATTTTATTTATTTATTTATTTATTTTTTAAAAGAATATTTTTAAGGAGAAATAAATGGTCAAGTCAATGCTAAAGTCTATTAGGCCCACTGTTTAGTGTGTATAGACTAAACAGTTTTTTGAGTGACTGAAATTTCCACTTTAAGTGGAGGTGTTTCATGTATAGACATAGCCCAGATTTAGAGTTGTAGGTGACCTTAGAGATAATCTAATCCAACTCTTAAGTTTACAGATGAGCAAACTACAGTCCATAGAAGTGAAATGATTTCTCTAAGGTCACACAAGTAGTAAGAAACACACCTGGAATTTGAACCCAGGTCTTGACTCCAAATCCAAAACTCTTTTCCCGACATCACATAAGAAAGATGGCTGGCACTGTGATGTTTCATCATGGCATTGGATTCTCCAAGGTTATTTATATGCCAGTAGAACATAACCTCCAAGGGGCAGGTAGGTGACACAGTGGATAGAGCACCAGCCCTGGAGTCAGGAGGACCTCGGTCTCAGTAACATAACGCTCACTAGCAGTGGGACTCAGGGCAAGTCACTTAACCCCAACTGCCTCACTAAAAAACCAAACCAAACCAAACCAAACCAAAACATAACCTCAGTAGGCCTCTCTAGACCAAAAACTTCATAATTTAAAGATATTAATTTCAAAAGCATGATATTAAACTCATTTATCTATTTATCTGGTCAGATCAACTCATAAAAAACATCACTAAGATAGGGAAAGGGAAGGTAAGGAATAAGAATAGGGAAATCTGTTCTGATGAAAGGAATATCTACAACAATAAATTGTAAGACTTTTAAGGATAAATGTTTTAAATTTTCTCACTTTATAAACAATAACCTTGAAAAATCAGTCACCAACATATAATTTTCATTACTTTGCTTTATTTTAAACTGTAAGAGAACCTAAACACCTAAGTTTAAAAGCTTCCAACTCTAAATCTGTGATCTTTTTCCTTAGTGAAGGAGTAGTGACTTTATTGAAGTAAAAATTGCAGATGAAAGACCACACACAAAGGGAAGCTGAAAAGGGTATGGGAAGGAAAACAAAGATATTTGCCTTGGGGCTCCAGAGTGCAGCCAAGTAAGAAATAGTAGGAAATGAAGAGGAAAAAAAGCATACTATGTTTCCAATTTTTAGACTGCTTTCATATATGTCATTATTTGATCTCACAAACTCTGTGAGATTTGTAGTGCAGTTATTATGAAGTACTTATTACATTATTTATTTATAGTTATTATAAGTTATTATAAATAGCAATTGTTTCTGTTTTGGCCAGAAACCCTGAGGATCTTCCCCTCCCAGATTGATTTTATTTATTTGTTTTTGACTAGGTAGAAGAGGCCATTCTTTGACTCATTTCTACCTTGCCTTAATCACTGAATGGGTGTTGCCTCAAACAGACTGAGACCTGGGGAAGATCTTGGCTAAGGTCTTTCTTAGCTTGAAAAGGCCAAGGTCTCCCACTGCATTCAGGGCCATCTTCAGTCCTCTTGATCCATGTCTTGCTACTGGACCCAGAGGACTCCAGAGGAGGGAGTGAGGCTGGTGACTTTGCACAACCTCCCCTCACTTAAATCCAATTCACTTCCAGGTCATAACATCTCCTTCCTGATATCATGGTCCTCTTTGAGAATGAAGGACAAACCACCACCACCACCACCACCACCACCACCACCACAGCATCAACAATGGACTGCCCAAATGACCCTCTAAGCTTTCTCTTCTTCAGTGTACCAAAATGGATCTATGATCTCATCATTTGGATATTTTCTCCAGTGATGCTAATTATAGCCCATCAATGGCTTCTCATACCATCAACTCTTATTCATGCCCTTCCTCCCATAAGTTCATTCCAAGTAATTAACTTAATGTGCCAGACTCTCCTTCCTGGCTATCTTTTGATATTGAGAGGATACCAGTAGGACATGTTGTGTTGTACACGTGTTATCTCTACATGTTAGATGTAGAGATATTCTGTACATGAGCAGACCATTTTATTTTCTGAAATACATTTCCTTGATGATATTTTTTATTTAGATGTTGCAACTTGTTCATGCCCACTATGAATCTTTCTACTGTCATCTGAATGATACTCATTCTAAATTCTTCAAATTCTCTAATGTTTCATGAGCATGATTCATGGTATGACTATACATTCTCCAGTGAAAACAAATTAGTTTGGTATAGACAAACATTTTCCTTGAGAGTAGACTCTACCCTTTTTATCTCTTTTGTGCATCCCTAGTTCACAATAGACGATGGGATAGGAGTGAGTCTTGTCATTGACAAACCATTTATGAAAGGGATTTCCTAATGTGCTCATGGTCTCTGGTGATTAAAGCAAAGGAGGATTTGATACAACTTTCAGAGGGGAAAAATTCCTCTTTTCCTTGTAAGGTACTATGCATAATTTGGACACTTTTGGGATTTTGCCACTCTATAAGAGTAAGCAGCCTAGGGCAAGAGAGGGCTAAGTTATTCCAGCGCTTAGCAACCTTGGTAGTAGGGTAAACCTTAGTAACCGAAAGGTGGTGGTTATTTTGAAATGCATTTCCATTTTTATTGATACCTTCAGTTTTTACACTGCTTTCATTTTCAAATATATCTCTTCCTACTCATGTTTCCAGGGAGCAATCCCCTGTAACAAGGATTTTTTTTTAAAAGAAAGAAGGAAAAGAAAAAAAAATCAGTTTAGCAAAGCCAGCCAATGCATAAACTACTTTGATAGTAGATGCAATATTCTTTACCCATATTCTTACACATCCACAATGGAGAGAGAGAGGTGTATTTTCTTTGCCTTTTCTAGGGCCAAGTGTGGTTATTATAATTAAATAACATTTGGTTTTATTTGTTGTTTTTCCATTTTCACTGTTGTTGTCCTTGTGTATATTGTTTTCCTGGTTCTGCTTAGTTCACTTTACCTGTATTCATATATCTTCTCACACTTCTCTGAATTCTTCATAATCACTTTTTGATATAACAATATTCCATTTTGTTAATTTATCATAATTTAACTATTCATACAATATGTAAGTATTGACTTTGTTTCCAGGTTATTACTAGAATAGTTGCTTTTTAAAACACACACACATATTGCTTTGATGTTTTAAAGGTGCTTTATGTTCATTTTCAAATTTCATTTCTATGCTTACCTAACTGTGTGGATGAAATACCCCAGGTATTATTCTACCCATTTTACAAATGAGGAAATAGCCTCAGAGAGGTTATGACTTGCTAAAAATTTTTATTGTTTATTGTTGAATTGTTTCAGTCATGTTTGACTCTTCATGACCTCATTTTGTTTTATTTTGTTTTTTGCCAAAGGTACTGGAGTGGTTTGCCATTTCCTTCTCCAGCTCATTTTACAGATGAGGAAACTGAGGCAAACAGGGTTAAGTGATTTGCTCAGGGTCACATAATTAGTAAGTGTCTGAGGCTGGGTTTGAACCCAGGAAGATGAGTCTTCTTGGTTTCAAGCCCAGTACTCTATCCACTGCACCACCCAACTGCCAGCCAGTACTTAATAAATCCTTTTTTATTGATTGACTGGTTGTCGAGGTCCATATAACTAGTAAGTGTCAGAGGCCAGATTTAAATTCAGATCTCCCTTGACTTCAACTCCAGAGCTCTTTCTCCAACATCACAAATAGCTGAGCACAGGTATTGCCTATTCTTACATCAAATACAGGAAAACTGAGTTCATTCTGGATATTTCCAGTTTATCATGCCAGCATAAAGATTTATTTGGAGAATGTCACCAAGTTACCTGCTTATTCACCTGGCATTCTCTTCCCCCTCACCTTACCCACTGAGGCAAACAAATAAACATCTGGGAGATGATGGCTCTTACTCTTCCTGCCCAATGTGTTTTTTGTTTATAGCCAACATACTCAATAAGAACACAGTTCATGTTATGAAATGTGACAGTTGTGTTATAAGGTGAAATAATTTTTACCTGTTCTACCTATGCAGTTTCTAAATTCAGACAGGTAAGACAGACAAATCCCAAGTAAGTGATAAACAGTTAGGAATCAGAAATAATTTCATAGGTAATGGTGCAATTATCATTAGGAATCTAAAAGATCTCTTAGGCATGGAGGGCATTATTTTTAATTGAATAAAATAATGTGAAAATGAGGAGGGGTATCTAATTTAGGCTACATTTACTTCAAAGCGATCTTTTAAAAATATTCTACCCTTCCAGGGACATAATCAGCTCTTCCACAGGATTCCAGGTAACCAACAGATCTAATCTACCTTACACAAAAAGTAGCCGGCTCTGGATAGACATGAATGGTAGGTCATTGAAAATCTGGCTGTCTCTGCCTCTGTCTCTTTCTAGTAATCATTTAAATCTTTCCTTCAAAGACCTACTTGTGGGACAAGATAGCAGAGCTATTGAAAACTCAGTGAAAGGAAAATCTTTCCCTTTGGATATGAAAGAGACAATGTATCAAAATAGAAGATTAAAAGAGATGTTAAAATCTGCTGTGATTACTACATGGAATCCTGGTTCTTAGATTCTTCAAATGACTGACAGCTTAAATATTTATCAATTTGTGTCTATCATCTTGTTAAATGTTGTAGAGGAAGAAATGAGACTGACTTATTTACACTTTTATATACATAAAAGAGAAAGCTTAATAATTTACTTAGACTAACTAAATGAAAATAATACCTTTAAAAATATCTTAGGAATTGAGATAATTATTTACTATTAAATAACACCCAAAAGGGGAAGCTCAGTTAAATTAGAGCTCTTTTAAGTCAATCCATTTAAAATATTATTTTCTGCTGGGGTGAATAATAAAATGCATTATAAATTAATTTTAGTGTATTGAATTAGTCTCTCCTCTCCAATGTCCTTCTACATAGCTGCCAAAATGATATTGCTAGAGAACAGGGCTGACCATATCATTGTCCTGCTCAATGAACTCCAGTGGTTCCCTGTTTTCTGTAGGATAAACAATAAACTCCACTTTCAAATCCTTCTACAACCTGGCTCCAAACTACCTTTCCAAGTTTTTTACACATCACTACCCTGTACTCCCTCTATGCTCCAGCCAAAATGCCCTTATCGAATTATAGTTGGAGGGGACTTTAGAGGTCATGTAGTCCACTCCCTTCATTGTACACATGAGGAAACTGAGGCATAGATCAGTGAAATGACTTATCCAAGGTTTCACAGAAATTAACTGGCAGAGTAGAGATTTGAATCCAGGTTTTCTGACTCTAGACTCAGTCCTCTTTCTACTATACCTGATTGCTTTCACTATTCCTTAGGTACAATATTCTATACTGTGTCTCTGTACCTTTATACCCTCCTCACTGCTATTTTTAAAAAGCAAGTTTTTTTTAATTGATTTCTTCTGTTTCTTATATCATCATAGAAACCCCAAATATCCCTCCTTCCTTACTCCCAAAGAGCCATCTCATATAATAGAGCATTTTTTAGAAAGGAAAAAAAAGATCAATGCAACTGATCAATACATCAAAAAAGTCCAAAAACATGTGCAATGTATAACACTTTTGGGTCTCCCACCTCCATTAAGAGGTAGATTGGGTGTGTCCACTCATATTTCTTCAATTGAGTCCTGCTTGATTTTTATAATTTTGTTGCTTTTTATTTACTTTTGCATTTTTGCATGTATAACTGTTCTTTTCATGGACACTGCTTTGGTTCATATATATATATATACATACATGTATACACATATATATACATACATATACACACACACACATATATACACAAATTTATGTATGTGTAAATATATATATTTGTTTCTGCTTACTTCACTCTGTATTAAAATCTTTCCATGTTTCTCTGTAATTATCACACACATCATTCCTTATAGGAAAGTAATATTCCATTAAATTCATGTACCACAATTTGTACAACCATCCCCAATTGATGGGTATCTACTTTGTTTTCAATTCTTGGCTACCACAAAAAGTTCTTCTATAAATATTTTGCTATATATGGAGATTTTCTTCTTATTAATGGCTTCTTTCTTATTGACAGGCATAAGCCCAATAATGGACTCTCTAGTTCAAAGGGGATAGACATTTTGGTCACTTTATTTGCAGAATTCCAAAAAGGTTGTATGATTTTACAACTCCACCAACAGTGTATTAGTGTACCTTTCCTTCCACAATCCCTCCAGTACTGAGTATTGACATTTTTTGGTCATTTTTCAAATTTTTAGGGTATGAGGTGAAACCTCAAGGTTATTTTGATTTGCATTTTCTTTATTATTATGACTTAGAACATTCTTTTTTTTAATTTTTTAGGCATTTGGGGTTAAATGACTTGCCCAGGGTCACACAGCTAGTAAGTGTGTCAAATGTTTGGTCTGAGGCCGGATTTGAACTCAGGTCCTCCTGACTTCAGGGCCGGTGCTCTATCCACTGCACCACCTAGCTGTCCCATGACTTAGAACATTCTTTCATGTGGTTGTGAATAACTTGCAATTCTTCCTTTGAGAACTCTTTGTTCATATTCTTTGACCACTTATCTATTGGGGAATGGCTATTAGTTACATATGTGTGTGTGTGTGTGTGCATGTATGTGCAAATAAATGAATGAATACACACACATATATATATGTGTGTGTGTATAAATCTCTCTCTATATATACATATATATGTATATATAATTTGATTTGTCTTGGACACCAAACTGTTATCACAGAAATTTGATGCAAAGATTGTATTTATTTATTTTTACCATTCAACTACTTCCCTTCTTATCCTAGCTGCATTAATTTTGTTTGTGCTCACCTCTAACTCTTAAAATCCAGCTTTCTTCAATGCTCAGCTCCAATGCTACTTCCTACATGGCCTTTTCTGGCTTATGGGTTTTTTTTTTCATAGCAGATACAAGGTAATGTCTCCAAAATTACTTTGTATTTACTATGTAAATATTTTCCCCAACATAATATAAGCTCCCTGAGGGAAGATACCATTTAATTTTTGCTTTCGAATCTCCTATGCTTAGTACAGTGTCTGGCACTTAGTAGACATGCCAGTTCCTTAAGAAATATTTTTTTGGTTGATTGATTGATATGGAATAGTATGAAATTTGGATAATTTAGGTTTTCATCTTTCTCTGAGGTGTTAATTCATCTGGGTTGGCAGCTTACATCACCAGTTAATTGTTTATATCTCCCTTTTCCCTAAATAGAGATGGATATTGGGACTTCTCGGATCTGAGACTTATTAGATATTTCTATTAAACAATTGATCTAGCCAGTTTGTGATTTGTTAGCGACTAAATGGTCAATTAATTACAGAAGAAATGACTGGGTTATAAAACCATCATTTGTTTATGACTCATCAAAATGATTAATCTGATTGTCTTTATGGCAGCCAGAATATTTAAATAGACATTCTGTTGCTCTTATTTCAACCATATGATAATAAGGGTAATGAACATTGATAACTGATTTACATGTTATTTCATTTGTTCCTCCCCATAACCCTTTGAGGTAGGTGCTATTATTGTCATCAGTTTACAGAATCAGAAACTGAAGCTGAGAGAGGTCAAATGACTGGCCCAGGGCACATAGGTAAGAAGTGTTTGCAGTCTAGTCTATTGTTGTCAGTCAGAACTTACTATGATTTTAAAAATGTAACTGACCACATTTTGGCCATACCTTGGAAACACTCATTTTGTGTAGATAGGAATATATGAATGTAAGAGATTGCTTATCACATAACCTAGGTACACACACACACAAATCACCAACCTTAATGTCTGCTTTCTTTCTTCCCTCTCTTTTTAAAAAATCAGTATTATACTCATAGCATAAATTAATCACTAAACAATTTTAATGTCTGCTTTCTCTCTGCCCGCCTCCTTACCCCTTTTTCATCACTATTACATTCATAGCTATTTACATTTCCGGAGAGAGGTCTGTGGAAAATAGAGTATTTTGTTTGTTTCTAGTGGTAGGAAAG